GATTAATAAAACAAGTGGATAGCATTTCAATTAAGGAAACAATCACAGCTGTGAAAAGGGATGTTATGCCAGAGGGATCTAATCAAACTACATGGTTTGAACTAAGGATCACAGAAGAAGCAATCACACCACGGTGAAACACCTCCAAGTGGTCAGAGCAAGCTCGAAGAGCAAATATGTAGGCAAATTCCAGACAAAATTATAAGACAGTAGCCATGAGGTATTTCAATTACCCTAATATCAACTGAGACATACTGAGTGTAAAATTTACAGGGGCCACATAATTCCAAATTATATTCAGAAGCACTTTTTTTGGTAATGAATGTCAAATAGGAGGTGGAAGGGTTGTACTTTCAGATATACTTTAGGGAGTGAGGCTGGGCAAATGGATGGAAAGCCCTTCTGTGACAGTAATTCAGTTAGATTTAACATAGTTGTAGAAAAGGATAAAGATAAACATGAGTAAATGTTCTATATTGGGGGAAGGGCAATTTTATTGGGATGAGAAGCAATTCAGCAAAAGTGGACTGGAAACAATTACTTGAAGATTAGTCAATGTCAATGCCTTAAATAAACTGACCTGTTTTTTATTAATTCATGGGATGAGGGCATTGCTGGCTAGGCCAGCATTTATTGTCCATCCCTAATTACCCAAAGGGCAGTTAAGAGTCAGCAATGTGGGTCTGGAGTCACATGTAGGCCAGACCTGGTAAGGATGGTAGTTTCCTTCCCTGAATCACATTAGTGAACCAGATGGGTTTTTCCAACAATTGACAATGGATTCATGGTCATCATTAGATTCTTAATTCTAGATTTTATTGAATGCAAATTCCACCATCTGCCATGGCGAGATTTGAACCAGTGTCCCCAGAACATTACCTGGGTATCTAGATTAATAGCCCAGCAATAATGCCACTAGGCCATTGCCTCCCCTTAATCACTTCTGATTACTCAGATTCTTATGGTTACTTGGATTATCCCTTCCTCCCTTTTTAAACAGTGGCACAACATTGTCAGTCCTCCAATTCTCCCACATCACATCTGTAGCCAGGGAGGATTGAAATATTATGGTCAGAGCCTGTACAATTTCCACTTTTGGACAATGAGTCAAGTTTGCTAATGAGTGATTCAGCCAATTTGCAGCCAGTTCTGGATTTGAATGATACTAGCTTGCCAAGAAACCCATTGAATGGGGAAGTCAAAGGATAGTGGTTAGAGCAGTTAAGTTGCTTTTGAAGAATACCAACTTTTGTACATTAACTTTTATACGTCGCTGCACTGTAATGTAGTCTAACACCATCAAAGTTGCTGGTGGGCAGGAAGGTGAAGATTCAGCTCCCAATCCTACTAAAGAAGTTGACTTCCCAGTTACCTGTACAGAATTATCAAGAAATATTTAATCAGGATTACTTCCATCATGCTCAACAGGCCACATACTACAATGAGTCAAGTTTGCTAATGAGTGATTCAGCCAATTTGCAGCCAGTTCATTGTCCAAAAGTGGAAATTGTACAGGCTCTGACCATAATATTTCAATCACATACTACAATAACAAGAACAGAAATTGCTCAGTTCCGAGGAAGGGCCAGTCAACCCAAAACATTAACTCTAATTTCTCTAATTTCTCTCCACTGATGCTGCCAGATCTGCTGAGCTTTTCCAGCAACTTCTATTTTCGTTTCAGACTTACAGCATCTGCAATTTGTTAGGCACATACTACAATAGGCATGAGCATGCAAGATGGTTATCACATTTAGGACTGGCATGGATCAGGGGTCTGAACTAAGAAGGTACAGTAATCCAAGGAGTTACAGACCAGCAGAGATCAAATATCATAAGTATTGTCGTATAAAGAAACCGTAGGAACCTTATTCCACGAGGTGTTAACCATCCACCATTATTTGACTGAGATGAATCCAGTGAGGGACTTGACAATGCAAGACCCCTGTAATGCTCGGACATCAGGAACAGAATCAAAGTCAACCATCTTTAACCCAGTAAATTACAAGTCTTCGGAGACTGAAGAGAATCCATTCTGAGAGAATAATGAAACATGCAGGTTACCTGAATTTCTAAAGTCAAAGGCTCAGGGGAGATGGGGTAATAGCAAGTGTAATTACATAATATAATAATATGTGTATAATATTAATAATACTAAAAAAGAAAAAAAGAGAAGGTTTTAAGTATAGGTCTGAAAGTGTTAAAACTGAGGAGTGGCATAAACACCATCAACTATGATGATGTCATTTGGACTTGAGGGTAGAACAGCTTAGGATTTCTGAGAAGCATGACCTAACATTTGGTCTGCCTCAATGTATCTGTAACAGTATCTATCATTTCCATGTAACCTGTTACTAGGTGCTGACATGCAACAAACTATAGGCAGAAATTTCCCAGCATCTGAATGATGTCGGAAATGGCGAGAAAGTTGGGAGAGTACACTCGTGACTCGAAAAATGGGACTCTTAACAAGGACGAAATAAAAAAAGTAGTCTGCTTGTCCCTTCAAGGTTTCAACAGCTAGGTGTTAAACTTGCTGGTGAGCAGCGAGGAGTCTGTTTGAATGCATTATTATTACTTAACCTCACCTCATTTTTAATGTAGATCACCATTCTCCCAGTACTGGTGAGAAACTAGATGAGCAGTTACCTGGTGACTGCAGCCCATCAGCATCTCCTCTGAGCTTTCATGATGGGCGCATTCCCCAACTTCTCAGGACAAGCTCCGTGGACAACAACCACCCTACTCTGTCCATGGAAGTCAGCATTGGCAAAGTGAGATGCAGTTCGGGGCCAGGAGGCAATAATCTGGGCGGGCCACAGGCTGCATATTAATAACCCCTCACCTTTGAATATAGCTGCAGAGTAACATCAATTAATAGTTTTCAAAGTGGTGTCTGGTCCTAGAAACAACAGTTTTGAAAAGGGGACGTTATGTGTATGTATCTGTTGGCTGTTTCGGATAAGGACGGTATGGTAGGCTGGGTGGTTAGCGCTGCTGCCTCACACTGCCAGGACCTGGGTTTCATTCCACCCTCAGGCGACTGTCTGAGTGGAGGTTGCACATTCTTCCCTTAGCTGCATGGGTTTCCTCAGGTGCTCTAGTTTCCTCCCACAGTCCAAAGACGTGTAGCTTAGGTAGATTGGCTATGTTAAATTGTCCACAGTGTTCAGGGATGTGCAGGCTAGGTGGATTAGCCATGGGAGATACAGGGTAAGGGGGTGGGTCTTGTTGGGATGCTCTTCGGAAGGTTATTATGGACTCAATGGGCCAAATGGCCTGCTCCCACACTGTAGGGGATTCAATGATTCTAAGGGAACAAGATACCTACTTTGCTTAGTTTTGCCATGACATCTTCCTAAATATTATGGAGCTCAAAATCATAACTACTTAATAAAATATCATGCATTTCAACTGTTCTGAATAATAATTACTTTTGAATGAGTATCTCTTTTGAATATAAGAATTGATTTTAGCAATTTTTATGGGATGGGTTCAAATATCTTAAATCAGCTATTTTTCAAACAGCTTGTTCCATCAGCAACATAAGTTGCATTTGAACTAGACTTTGGAACTACTAAGATATATAATTCAATGTTTAATTTCAGTTTTCATGCCTAACTGTTTTTCTAAAGCTAGATTGCACTTGAAATTTACATTAAAATTATTCTAATATTTAATGAAATAAAGCTTTTATTTTCAAATGCTTCAACTGAGCTCAATTTTAACGGACACTAGAAGCAGATTTTCATCTTGGTCCCTTTCCTCATGGGTGCACATGCATACCTTAACAAAGGGACCCCATCCACATATTTAAGCAGAATTTCAGTGCCTATTCAGGCCTGTCTCAATTTGGTTCGGGTGGTACGGAAAGAAAATCAAGTCAGCAACAGTTGCCTTATTGGCTGTGGCACTCCAGTACATTGTGATGGGAGGCGGGGGGGATGGTGTTAGAGCAAGGAAGTCAATTGGAGTGGTTAGTTTCTGCCTGATTACAGATATTATTACACACATCTGAAGCAGATGGGACTTGAACCAGGGCCTCCTGGCTCAAAAGTAGGGACACTACCACCGCACCATAAAATCCACAATCAAATGGATACAACTCTGTTTCTCTCTCCACAGGTGCTGCCAGACCTGCTATATTTCTGTAGAATCTTCTGTGTTTTTTAATTTAAATCTCCATCATCTGCAGTATGCTTTTAGATATTTTCTAATCAAGCTATTCAGAGATGTTATTACAAGCCTCTAGAGCAGGTTAGACTCGAACCAGGTTGTCCTGGCTCAGAGTTAGGGAATGCTACTACTGCACCACAACAGTCACAATCAACTGGAGTTACAGATGCGCAATAACTGGAGTCAGGGAAGCATAAGAATTGGAGTCAACAAAGCACAGTTATTGGGGTCAGGGAAGCATTTTTGTTCATGCTTCCACAGGAACATTTGAGAAGGCCTGCCTTTTCTTGATTGCTGCAGAGGCAAGATTCTCGATAGAACAAGCCCAGTGCCTGTTCTCAATGTTGTGCGAGCTCAGTCAGCACAGCATGAGATTTGCAATCTCACAGTCATAGATCCAAGTCATTGTTATGTTCCACTAAGGGCTCTTGTGGTACAGTGGTAATGTTCACATCCCAGGCTAATAGGTCTGGGTTCAAGTTCCACCCTTGTCTCCAGAGGTGTGTCTTAATATATCCAAAAAGATTAAGAGTATATACAAACTCAGAAGTTGGCCAATGTCAATCAAATTCTGAGCCAGGCATCCCAATGCTGAATATTATGCTTGTTCTCATTTAATACTGCAACTTTGGGTGCAATACAAACCAGTTTCTACTCCCAATCCTTTTGTAGCAATGCCACAGCTCTACATTTTTGACATTTTTAATTAAAATATATTTTTGCTGTACCAGTTATAGGTCCATGTTTAAATTGATCCAGTAACAAAGGAAATCCACTAGCTTTTCATTCCACAAAAATTTATATCAAGCTATTAGTTGTTTTACCATTTTGATCTGCTTGTAGATTTCACAACTGGTGTCATTCCATCTCTGTACAGGCTCTTCGTTTTGCTGAAGTTGACAATATTAAAAATTACTCTCTGCAAATAATTAAATAAAAATAAGTTGATTAAAACCCAAAAATTTACAATCTAAAAGTATTTCCTTAAAATACATTTATTGTCTATGTAAATACATATTTTGTTAAAGAAGATTCCCTTTTAAACATGCAATCTATTGAAAGTTCAAACAACTGGAAATTACATTGGAAATTACTTTTCTATTTAAAATTGTATGACCTCATAGTCAAGATTTTAACAAGTAGCAGTGCTCAGATTAAAATGGATAATGGAGAACCAATGAATGTGGTGTTTTTTGTATTTTCAAAAACTATTTGATTGTGTTCCACATTAGAGATTAGTGTGCAAAATTAAAGTGCATGGGATTGGGGATAATTATAGGCAAGAATTGAAAATTGGTTAGCAGACAGGAAACAGAGTAGGAAAAAATGGGTGTTTTTCAGACTGGAAGGCAAAGACTAGTAGGCTACCACAGGGAGCTGTGCTTGGCTGCTAGTTATTCACAACATACATCAAAGATGAGGGAATCAGATGTAATATTTCTAAATTTGCTGACAACACAAAACTAAGTGAGACTGTGAGTGATGATGTGGAAGTAATGGGCTTCAAAATAGCTTTAGACAAGTTGAGCGAATGGGCATATTCATGGCAGATGCAGTATAATGTGGATAAGTGTGAAGTTATCTACGAATAATAGAGTACAATTTAAACAGTAATAGATTGGGGAAATGTTGATGTACAAAGGGTATTAAAAATGTCCTTGCATATCAGTCACTGAAAGAAATCAAACAATTAGGAAAGCAAATGGTGTGTTGACTTTAATTGGAAGGGGATTTGAGTACACGAGAAAGAATAACTTGCTGAAGCTTTGCAGGGCCTTGGTGAGACCACACCTAGAGTATTGTGTGCAGTTTTGGTCTCCTTACCTAAGATATACTTGTCAAAGAGGGAGTTCAGCGAAGTTTCACCAGGCTGATTCCTGGAAATGACAGAAATATCTCATGAGGAGAGATTGGATCAACCAGGTCTGTATTTACTGGAGTAGAAATAATAAGAGGGGAATCTCATTGAAACTTATAAAAGTCTAAATGGGCTGGAAAGACTGGATGCATGGATGATGCTACCCATGGTCGGGTGTATTGAGCAAAGGGTTATAGTCTCAGGATACAGGGTAGACCATTTAGGATTGAGATGAGGAGAAATTTCTTCCCTCAAAGGATGATGACCCTGTGGAATTCTCGACCGTATAAGGTGATAGAGGCCTAGTTACTGACTATATTTAAGAAAGAAACAGATTTCTAGAGACTAGAGGCATAAAAGGAGATGGGGAAAGAATTTCAGTATGGCATTGGAATAAAGGATCAGCTGTGGTCATACTGAACAGCAGAACTGGCTCGATGGGTCAAATGGCCTACAAGCTGCTCTTTATTTTGTTCCATATGACTAGCAGCCATTGCACAGTTGAGTTTGAGGCATGTAAGGGTCCTGACCCAAAACGTCAACTTTCCTGTTCCTCTAATGATGCTGCCTGGCCTGCTGTGTTCCTCCAGCTCCATACTGTGTTATCTCTGACTCCAGCATCTGCAGTTCTTACTATCTCTAATGTGATGGAATGTAACTTTTCTTTTCCCTGTAACAATGCTGAATTTCTTACAAATCTGTCTGCTGTTCAATTCTGTGACATATCTTCAAATAAAGAGAACATGTGTCCAGTTAACTATGCCTGGTATGAAACTGGCAAATTTGTGTCAGCAAATACAGGACTAGAACAGAGTCTATTAGCTGATGCCATGGCATCAACTGCAGCATAAATCATGGCCTGGGTATTATCTACTTCCTTGTTAAAGATAGATGAAAAGTATTATTTACTACCTCAGTCATGCTCACTGCTTCCATTTGTTAATCTCCTTTTTGGTTCCTAATCTTCTTTTCACTATTATTTTACTATTTATATGTCTATAGAAGATTTTGGAATTCCCCTTTATATTGATGGCAGTCTTTCCTCCTAATTCCTCATTGCTTTTCTAGTATGCTTTCTCACCTCTGCTCTTGGTATTACTCTTAGTTTTGAATTGTATTTAAAATACAGACACATTGAAAATAAGAGCAGGAGTAGGCCATTCAGCCTTCGAGGCTGCTCCATTATTCATCATGATCATGGCTGATCATCTATCTCAAGAACCTGTTTCCACCTTCTCCTCATGTCGTTGATCCCATTAGCCCCAAGTGCTATATCCAACTTCTCCTTGAAATCATACAACATTTTGGCCTTGACTTACCGTGTAGGCAAATTCCACAGGCTGTGCCGGCCAAGTTATTGAGTATATTTAAGGCAGAGATAGACAGGTTCTTTATTTGTAAGGGGATCAAGAGTTACATGGAGAAAACAAGAGGATGGGGTTGAGAAACATATCAGTCATGCTCAAATGGTGGAGCAGACTTGATCGGCCAAATGTCCTAATTCTGCTCCTATATCTGCTCTCAGGCTATCCTGGCCAGCTCCGTTCTTGCCACATTCTTGTTGAACTGGACACATATTACAGATGGAAATTCACCTGAACACAATCAAGGAATATTTGCCTTTCTCCCCCTGACACTATCAGCATCCCAATCTATATCTAGGTGATTAAAGTACTGATGATGTTGCCATCTGTCTGTAATTTTCCTGCAGATGTGTTCCAGTGCATCCTTTCCACTCGTTGGTGATCTACTGGCTACATTGAACAGTGTAATTGCGCTCGTTTTCTTACACAGTATCGCCAAATTGATTCCATCCTAGTGCCCCCTGGAAAGCCCTCTTTCTCCAACATTGCAATGTTGTCCTTAACCAATACTGCTACCCCTCCTCCTTTCCTTCCTTTTCCATCTTTGTTCCACCTTTTATCTAGGAATATTTAACACTCGATCCTGTCTTCCTTAAGCCTGGTCTCAGTTATCACTAAAACATCATTTTTCCACATGGCAGTCTGCACCTGTAACTCCCCAGTATAGTTTATTCTATTCTGTGCTCCTGACTCTGATTTCATTATTTTCTAGCTTACTCTGACTTCACCATTTAACTTACAATTCTCTACCTGGTGCTATCTATCTCTCTAAGTAGTTTAAAGACCTCCTAATAGCATTAGCAAAATGCCTCATACAGAGTTCAGTCCCAGTTTTGTTCTGGGGCAATCCATCTGGCTTGTATAAGTCCCATTTTCCCTACAGCAATTTCCAGGGTCACAGAAATCTAAAAACCTCTGTGTGCACCATCTTTCGGGGCCCCACATTCATCTGCCAATTCCTTCTATTTCTGGGCTCATTTGCATGTGATACTGGGAGTAATCCAGAGGTCCTGCTTGCTAATTTTCTACCCAAATTCTAATTGCAGGACGACACCTTCCTTCCTGCCTAAGTCATCAGTATCAACACAGACCATGCCCTCTAGCTGTTCATCCTTCCTCAGAAGACAGTCCTGCAGCTGCTCTGTAATGTCCTTGATCACAACACCAGTGAGACAATATTCCATCCTGGGATCACATCTACAGCCACAGAAAGGCCTATCTGCTCCCAACCCGGATTGCTCTTCCTTTCTTCTTCTTTCACTCCTGTACAGATGAGCCGTTCATGGTGCCACAAACTTGGTTCTGACTACAGTCTCTTGAGGAATCAGTTCCCTCATTAGCTTCCAAAATGGAAAATTGATTTTGATTGGTATCCTAGGAGATTCCTGCACTACTTTGCAGGTTCTCTTGGACTATCTGGTGATTCCTCCATTCCTTTTCTGGCTCTCACTGTGAGCTGCAGTGTGACCACCTCTCTGAATGTGTTAGCGCATAAGTCTGAACCTCATGGTTGCACAATAGTGATTCTTTTCGATGCTTGAGCTCTGAAACTTGGAGTTTCTGAATCGGCAGCACTTCCTGCACACGAGGTTTATGACATCACTAGGCTCCGTGATTTCCACACTTTACAGGCCATGTGTTCCATGACTGAACTGCACTGTCACACCTTAACTATACTTCCCTTACATTAACTTTTATTCGTATTTGGGTTACTTATAGTACTTTACTATATTGGCCCTTCCCTTCCGTAATCCTTGGTGTTGCTCATTTAAATCCACCTATCTGAAGATCCGGAATTCTCCAGGTCTGTTACATAGTGGCACACTTTTCCACTATCAAATGATTTATTGTCACTAGGCATCAAAGATTACAGCATGGAAGTAAGAAGCCACTTGCATTTGCCATTATTCTACCCAAATGTTAAGCTTATGGCGCTGTGAATAATAGCAGTATGTATTTATAATAGTAGTGTTTGTTGCTTTTGGGTGAGAATGTCTAAATTTTTATTTTGTACAAATTTAATTTAGTTTGCAATTGGCACTAAACTGAACACTATCCTTCAAATTATGCAGCTGCCAACCTTTGTTTTTTTTCCCTTTCAAGGAGTGTAACTTAATTAAGAATCAAGTTAAACATGAATTAACTGTATCAGATCAATATTTTATGTTAGAAGCATATAAAATTAATCAACTTAGTGTGACTCAGCAATTGAATGCAACATCCATCAGACTGCTACAGTTAACTGATTCAAGAAATTAAGTGGAGAAACAGAAAGAGACATTTTGACGCCATTGCCTTTGTCTAAACTTTTTCAACCTCCAGGAATTGATACTTACGCTGCTACAGGAAAAGGAGCAGGTTACTTAGTAACATAGAAACATAGAAAATTGGTGCAGGAGTAGGCCATTTGACCCTTCAAGCCTGCACCACCATTCAATATGACCATGGCTGATCACGCAATCTCAGTATCCCATTCCCACCCTTTCCCCATATCCCTTGATCCCTTTAGCCATGTGGGCCATATCCAGCTCCTTCTTGAATACACCTAATGAACTAGCCCCAGTAGCTTCCTGTAGGAGAGGATTCCACAGGTTCGCAACTTTCTGAGTGAAAAAATTCTTCCTCATCTCAGTCCTGAATGGCTTACCCATTATTCTTAGACTGTGACCCCTAGTTCTGGACTCCCCAACACTGGGA